TGCTGAACTTCCGTTCACGAATACCAACCTACTACTTACTGACAATAACATAATTTGAACCCTTGTAGTATTTTATTGGTGATATTATTCAGAAAAGGATGAATTGTTTTTCGATTAAAACAAGCACTTCATATATTCAAAACACACTTGATCATTTATGCTAACAACTCAATATCTCTTTTGTTTCATAAAACATTTTGAAATGAACGAAAATACATGGATTATAAAAAAAGTTTATGGTTTTCTTAGTACATGTTGCAAATTGAATGTTTATTATGTTTTACTTGTTCAATATGTCTTCAATAGGTAATGAGACGTTTACAATTTAAAACTATTTCTTTGTATACTTTGGCTTGAAATTACCTACAGTAATGACTACAAGAAAATTAAAAATAAAACCAGAAACAGTAAATATATTATTTTAAGCATTCTTTCGACCGTTAAATACTAGTTTGCTTTTGTCCTACAGTGTACATCCTTCAAGTCGTCATAATCTTTGCAATGAAATTCAAATAAACTATTTAGCAAACAGCATTTGTCTGAAGCTAAACAAAAGATTTTAAAAACATGGTCAAATCTTTTGTGACCTGAATCAGATGCTAAATTCTTCTGACCATATTACAATTACAAACTGGCAATTTATAAACAATGTGTAATTTATGCCACACTATTGTTTATTTACTTATTCAGCAAATTGGATTGTCCGCAATAATCAATAAGTAAATGACTTTGATTCTAACGCTATTTCAAATGAAGCTATACAAAGCGTTAAATCAAATTAACATTATGGTTTGTCGTTCATTGTCCTGTTAGTATATGTTACTAGATTTTAGTTGAAAACAACATCTCACCTCATACTTTCAATAAAGGTTTATTATTCTTATCTCACCAAACATACCATACCTTGTTAATTTATGTTCAATGGGATTTCAACTAACAGTTAAAACTAATGAATACTCACAATAATTCTTATCTATGACACTCGACGTTCTGTTGTTGTCGTCTGTTGTGAAACTTTCTCAAAATTAATCCGAAACCAAAAAGTAATTAATTTATCTGTATCAATTGTTCGAATCCTCCCAATGATCGCGCTTTTCTGTATATATGCATTTACTTAAGACTACCGTAAGTCTCAGTGTGAAAATCAAGTTTAAGATTCAGAAACATCCAGCTGACAAGTCTCAAATAGATTGAAACGTATGTTCTAGATTCCACTACTAGCTGCCATGTAACTCTGATAGAGAGAAATTATTAATTAGTGCAGAAAGGTTGCTTATGATGGCCATATTTTATAAAAGGCTTTAATGTCAATTCCAAGAATTCGTTGTGGAAAGATAAAACCTTGTTTGTTTATGATTGTGAGTATATGTTATCGCGATCAACGAAAATTCAGTAATTAGAGTAGACTAAACAAGCTTTTCTATTAAAGTAAGATAGTAATTAGTCCGAATAAACATCGGTAAATTTTGTTGTGATTCACTAAATATACATTTTAATTCATAAGCTAAAAATAAATTAAAATTTTATATTTTCTCATCATCACATACATTTCTGTTATATATATAAAAAACACTTTATCTAGATTTAAATTTTAAAATAACCACTAGTTAAATATCATATATATGTTTTGGACGATTATTAATTTTCATATAAAAACAACACATTTATTGACAAATCGTTATCATTTCTCTAATTGGTTAATCACATACACTAAAGCCTAATTAACCATCGACCAATGATTGTTTAAAATACACATTCTAAAAATACTAATTAACATTATCTAACTGTGTGTGTTGTCTTCAATTCATTCATGACTGAAATTATAATGCATTACATTGCATTGTGTGTGTATAGTTCTTTTTTTTTTCTAACTTATTTTATAACTGTATACAGTTGTTCATGCCTTTTGTTTTATTCAATAAAAAAAAAGAAGTACATTTAATCGGATGAAATCATATGAAAGAAAAGAAAGAAAGAAATAGTTCAAGTGAAGTTTCAAATACTGTTAACAATTACCTTTATCATGTACAACTAATATTACTTAATGGACTTACTTTTTCGTGTTAATTATTAACTAGCAATTTTCATGTATATTCATAGTGAAGGTTTTAATTTAATTGACATTGTCATAGTTACATCTCTTTGTTACACATTGTGAATGAGATAGATTTATGCACATCAGTAAACGTACACTAATTGGAGTTGTTTTTTTTATTCATTTTTAGGAAATATTCTTATACATCTTTTCAAAATTTAAACTATATTGTATTCTGTACTTTATATAACAAAAAAAAATTGTAACGTTCAATTAATCAGGTAATATCTCTAAAAAAGACTACACGCTACGAAAATGTCATAGTTACCATTTAAAATAATAACTTACTGAAAATATTAAAACAAAAGCTAATTTTATTTTCAGAAAAAAAAAATACATTTTATTAAGATAAGAATTAGTTTCAAATAAAGAAAAACAATATTCACACAGACGGTAGATAATAAAAAAATACGTAGCAACATTTTGATTCAGCTTTATTGTGAAGATAGGAACAAAACCTAAAATCTACTTCATTTAAACATACGATTTTGTTCATTTTTCAATGTTACATTGTAGTGTTTTGTCTTTTGCAAATATTCTTGGATAAACGTTTTTGTTTTTAATTATTGACACTGTTATTTCATTTCATTGTGGAAGTGACAGTGTTAATTTTTTTATTGTTGAAAGATCATTAGTTTGCAAGCCTAATAATAATCGCAATAGGGCAGGTGCATTCATTCTTTGTGTTCTGTCAAATCTTAACCTTCTGAATACCTCATCACTTTATCTCTTTCTTTGTAAGTTTATTTCGCTAGATTCTACTTCTTGAATAATATCGTTGAAACTTAATCTCTTCGATTACTGCTAATAATTTTACTACCTATACTACTATGTGATTTGAAGTGACAATTACATTCCTGTGCCAATTTGGTATGGCAACTTAAACTGATTCACGTACATACGAAGTTCTATGTTGCTGTTGATTGATTGATTATAAATTAGAACATGGATTGAACAAATGAAATCAACTGTTTAAGCAACTTTTTAATGAAGTGAACTGAATTTCATATTGTTACATTAGGAAAGGTTATTGAATTATGTTGATTAAGTTGAATATTTCTTTGAAGAGAAATATTTACCACCTGCCTCCATCATATTCTAAACGGCTGAATAAGGTTTAATTTATTCAAAAAAACTTTGAATCAATATGGTTCTATTTGAAATGGTTTAGAATATATACCGTTGTTCATATATTTTGATCAAATTCGATCAGTCTTGGTCAGTATATGGATATCCTGTATGGATCGCCTCGTTATAGCCATTGTGAAACAAGTTGACATAGAGTAAATTCAATGTGGCTAACGGTGCAATTCAGAACTAGACGCTAGTCTTCGCTTCCACTGATGGTAATATTTAATTCATACTATAACATTCTGGTTTTATAATTAAAATTCAATTCAAAAATTCACAGAATATTTTAAACTTGATCAGATGGTGAATCAAGCATTATTTTAGTGAGTGCTTTAAATAAACTTATTCGTAGCATAAATGTAGTTAAAGCAATGAAACTCAACAAAAGATGCCTTGAATACTGCAAGAATTTTTCTTTGAAATAAAATTTTTAACATTAGCAACGGTAATTAATATGTGACATATTGAGATCATAACCATTAGGCTCTGTATAAGCTTAGTTATATAATGAATATTCAATACAACGTCTAGTCGAACAAAAGTGTATCATGTTTACTTCTAATAAATTCAATACAATAAATACAATTTGAACTCCATGTTACCATCTACTGAATCGCAATTATTGATCTACATTTCCATCTAACGTCATATCGTAATTTCTTAAAAATTACTGCTTACTGATCAGTTCACATGGGATATGTTGTATTGGTAGCAATTATTGATATTGAGATTGACATGGTGAAGAAAATTTGTAGCTCAGTTGGATGATTCTGGTGGTGTTTCGTTTTCTGAACTGAATGTTTTGGTTGTAGAGCTTTCATTGTTCTTCTGATGATGACATTGTTCGGAAGAAGAACAATGAAAGCTTCACAACCGAAACATCCAGCTCAGAGAATGAAACACCAACAGAATGATACTGATATTTATAGTTTTTTACAGGAAATTTTAGTATTTGATATATTAACACGATCGTGATATCTTACTTCTAGTTATTGTATTTTCTGTTACATTTTTAGTAAGCAGTTGAAACCTTTTCCAAATATTTGTATGTTATAAATATATTCTATAAATAAATAACATACGTGCCTTCATTTTTTAGTTTAGATACAAATCAATTATAAATTGTTTCAAGCGTAATTTTGAACTTTCGGGATTAACTAAGCTGGACAGTAGATATGTTTGGTGTCTTGAACTATGATAATTGTCGAACAATTAATTATTTTTTTTATAGAATTATTCATGGTGAAAAGTGGAACACTGAACTTGCGTCCAGTTCTATTTATGACTCGTACTTTGGATATAGCTACATCTCAGTGTTATTATTCACACCTGAGACTCGAAACTGTAAACTCTCGTTATATGAAATACTAAGTTCACATAGAGTCATCTATATGTGCAACGAATATGATATATCATTATCAGTAACAGCAAGAAATTTCTTTTCGTTGATATTCTAGAGGAAATTACTACCGTCAATAAACGATCTATATCATAAAATGAGTATTAGAGTGAGGATAGTCCTCACAGTATACGCAAATGCTAAGAAGGACTGATTGGAATTCACCGAGCAATAATAAAAACAAGTTTATTTAAACCTTGCTAATGAAAATAGGATTTTGGTTTATATATTGATTTCTTTGAATGATAATATAGTTACACCTAATTCAATTAAAAATGCACATCCTGAATAACTGTTATTTAACAAATGATATTATTATTGAGTTTAAACTTTTCTGTATCTTTTCAGAATGTAACAACGAAAATCAAATAAACCATGTCTCAATGTGAAAGAGAAAAATTATTTGTACAGAATTTCTCTTCTACTCAGTCAACAAATCCTCTATTTTATGCATTCACTAGTCAGGCTGCAGAAAATGCAGTACATTTTGCAGCGAATATTAATGACGATAATCATTCTTTATTTCTAAAAATACTATTGATTGATAGAGACGAAAACATGTCAACAGGTATAATTTCATCAAATTTACTGCATCAAATATGTGGACCATATCCAACATTTTCTGAATTGTATGATGGTCAGTTCGATTATGTTGTACATAGTTATCTTTTACCCATACTAATGATTTTTGTCCTGATCACTAATTTCTTTGTATGTTTAGTACTTAGTAAACCACATATGAGATCACCTGTATTTTTCTTATTATTTCTAATTGGTATTGTGGAGCTAATAAATTGTTGTCTACCATTACCAATGTATTTTGCTCAAAGTGTCTACAAACGAACTGCATGGTGGACTGATTTACCTATTAGAAATTTTACAAATGCTGAAAATTTACTCATCAACACAAGCTGGAAATTAGCTCCAAGTGATTATTATCAAACTAGTGATAATGTGATTGCTAGTGAAGCGTCAGCTTGGACAACTGTAATTCTTCCAACAGTCACTCATACAATATCAGTGTGGTTAACAGTAGCTTTGGCATTACAGCGTGTATTAAACTTGACCGAATTTAATTTAGCATCAAAACTATGTAGTTTGAATTCTACAATAAGAATTTTTGTGATCATATCATGTATGGCTATTGCTTTACACTGGCCTTTATTATCTTCAAGATTCATATTATTTCAACCAGTCCAGTTGAAATCACCGATACATGATGAAAATTTTTTACATGTTTATAAAACAGCCGATTCTATTCACTGTCTATCAGACATTACAGATAGTTTACCCAGAATTGTCATGAAATGTCATTTACTTCAACCAGTATACATGATATTTTACTTCTATGCACGGATTGTATTAATTCATATTTTACCATGTGGATTACTTGTCACATTGACTGTAATACTTGTTTTAAAAATGCATAATATCATGAAATTGAGAGCACGTCTTGGTTTATTGCATACAAATAGTACTTATTATTCGAACTATTGTAAAAGTAAACTTTTGTGTTGTGTTTGTAAAAAGTTGAATTCAACGAAAACATCCAAGAGTCATATCACCACTGCTCATTATGCTAATAACAATAATAATAATAATATTATATGTACATCAAGTTCCAAGAAATCTCCAATCAATCCACAAGCGATATCTCGTATGCTTATTGTAGTTCTAATAAAATTTATTGCAATGCATTTACCAAACGCAATTGTCCTAACAATATATATTGTAAGAAAAATGTCTAAAGTGGAGAATTCCATACAAAATCTCAATGAAGGAACATTGGTCACGACAACGTCAGGCGAAATAATTCAAGAATTGGACAACCAACAAATTCTTTTCCCACTAACAGATAATTATACAATAAACAAAACAGACAGTAATCATCAACATAGACAACTAAATGTAATTGATCGTGATTTTACTGATGAATATTTAACCAAAGCGGTAATATTATGCAATCTTGTCATACTTGTATCATATCAATTAAATTTTGCCATCTATTACTTGATGTCTACACAATTTAAAGAAACATTCAACAGTTTATGCTTTATTAAACGGTTTACTTTGAACAGAAATTGATGTTTGTACATGTTTCATCATATTATATGTGTATATAGAAAAAACTACTTGATTATCGCATTTAAACATGTTTGTGTAAAAAATAGATAAAAAGTTAGTTTTCGTATGTGAGAAATGTAATCATTTATTTTCTAACAACATCATATTGAATAAAGATTTCTTTATTGAAACAGTATTATTTACCGATTTGATGATGGAACAATAAAATATGAACTGAAAAGATAATTCGTTGATCAAATCAATTATTTATTTATTAATGTATGGGATTCCTGGGGTTTATAGTACTTTCACAGTTGACATCACGAACTGATCTAAGCTAGACAATCATTATGTTACCCCAAAAGTCATTTCATCCTAGTAACGGACTAATCAGCTGTGTGATTCCGGCACCCAACATGAAGTATTTAAATTGAGAGCTCTAGCCTCGCAGTCAGACACTTAACACTTTTTATTTAACTGCGGTGGATATACGTCTCACATGTGACAAGGACTAAACTTCATCTCTCAGCTTTTCAAATTGTAAATATAACTAACTGTAAAGCAACTGTCAGTAACAGTCAAATTCTTGTTCAACACACATAAGCGAACAATATTGTTTCCGATTAGATCGTCATCAGGCTTTACTCTAATATATATGAATATTTATATGAAAATGTTAAACCAATCAAGGCAATTTGAGTGATAATCACAATGGAATAAAAAATATTACGTAACTACATGTAATAGGCAAAAGTTCAAGTGGATAGTAGGAAGACAGGTGTACTGATAGTAGTAAGAAAATTTATAAAATATGATAACTAAAGTAGGTCAAAGGTGGATGAATGGAATTCAAATTTTCACAATGGGAATCTTTAATATTCTTAAATCATGTGGGGATCCTGCTGCATTTAAGGCACTAAATGAGTTCCTGAAGTTTAATGCACGTCTCACAGAAGCGAAGACGAGCTTAGGATTTACTATTAATTGTATTCAGTCAAACAGATATCCTAAAGTATATTGGAAGTCATTACGTCGGAACAGAGTCTATCCGAATGCTAAAACACTTGAAAGACATGCGTCCAATGAAATAGATACTTTAAAAATGAATATCCGCGACTTGGATAGGAATCTTCTTCTCAGACAACATTTCGTTGATAACCCGCCATCGGAAATTCATTCATTATTTATGGATTATTTCGGAAAAGTTTTTAAAAACCGATCTGAGAAGACAATGAATAAGTTAGTGAAAACTCTGGAAAAAAAGCAAAAACCGGAAAAGGAATTTCCTCTGGATCCGACTCGGTACGTACACAATTTTTCAGACATTGAACTTGATGTAATACAGTTAGAGGCTTTGTCCCTGGGGCCAAAATTTTGTGATAATGGTCAGAAAATCAATCACCTAAATACCGATGTGCAGTTTGAAAGTTTGTTTTCACAAACAACTGAACTGTTCTCCACCTCAGTGGAGGATGTCACTAGATTTAAGACAACTTTAGTCGATGGCTGCCAACAATATAAAACCAGTAAGCCTTCTACTAATCTCCTTTTCACTAAACTGCAACTTGAGGCTTTACCAAAATTCAGAAATGATGATACTTCGATCATGAGCAAGCCAGACAAGGGGGGAGGTATAGTTCTTATGAATAAACCTGATTACAAAGCTAAAATGGAAGGAATGCTAGATGATCCTAGCAAATTTCAGAAAGTCACCAGTAATAACGACATCAATAAAAAAGTGGAAAAACAACTGACAAATTCGCTTAAAGAACTAAAGAAAAAGGGAGTAATTGCGTCTGAAATTCACGACTCGATTAAACCGACTGGATCATATACACCACGACTAAATAGTTTGCCTAAAGTCCACAAATCGGGTCTTCCTCTGCGCCCGGTCCTTGGTATGCACAGTTCTCCTTACCACAAAATTGCGAAGTGGTTAGTGCCTTTTACATAGAGCCTTTACATAAATCAGTTGTGCGAAGAAGTGTAAAAGACGTTTTTGAGTTCACTTCCAAAGTGGGAAGTATGAATGTTAGCAAGAAAAATATGATCTCAATTGATGTTTCTTTGTTCACTAACGTACCACTTCTCGAGACTGTTGAATTCATATGCGAGCAAATCAAGGAAAAACAAATCAACATTGGCTTGCCCGAAGATTGCCTTAAGGAATTACTCATAAGATGTCCATTTCGTATTCAACAACAATTATTATATACAAATAGACGGTATAGCCATGGGCTCACCTCTAGGCCCAATTCTAGCTGATCTCTTTCTAGCAAAGCTAGAAAATGGACCACTCAACGAAGTTATTCAGAAACTTGATCTATACTGCCGTTATGTCGACGACACATTCACCATTGTAGATCAGGACACCAGAAGAGCAAAACTCTTAGAACAATTCAACAGAGATGTGGCCTGTGATACTCTGCAGGACAGATTAAGAAGAGTAATTAATAGAACATTCAACGCTGCCAAACTTGCATTGACATTCTCCTGCCGACCAGCGATGTCTACTCAAACGAAGGATAAGTTGCCTGAGCTGGCTTCCTCTATGTCCATTTACAAATTCAGCTGCTCCTGTGGAGATAGCTATATCGGGCGTACTTCCAGGCAACTTAACCAACGAATGAGTGAACATCTCCCAGCATGGTTTATGAAGGGTCAGTTAAAAACAATACGCAGTTCTATCTTAGCACACCTGGTAGATAGAGGTCACATTGTAGATAAATCTAGATCTTTTCGGGTGATCTATCATATACCTCCATCATTTCCCAACGGAGTTCTATTCCGTCTCCTACACATTACAGAAGCCATAGGAATACGTACATTCAACCCTAATTTATGTGTTCAGAAGAAATTCGTGACACCCCTATCTCTTCCGTGGCCGGATATGATGTAACTAACGATGGACATTTTATTTTTTATTTTATTTTTACACATTTGCTTATTACGTAATGTTTTTGATGTTTTTGATGATTATTTGAATTCTATTCATCCACCTTTGACCTACTTTAGTTATCATATTTTATAAATTTTCTTACTACTATCAGTACACCTGTCTTCCTACTATCCACTTGAACTTTTGCCTGTTACATGTAGTTACGTAATCTTTTTCATTTCATTGTGATTATCACTCAAATTGCCTTGATTGGTTTAACATTTTCATATAAATATTCATGTATATTAGAATAAAGCCTGATGACGATCTAATCGAAAACAATATTGTTCGCTTATATGTGTTGTTCTAATTTTCACAATGGGAATCTTTAAAATTCCTGTTCATGTTATATCGGTTCGGTAGAGTATATTACAATAAGCTATGAAACATCAGTATCAGTGTAAACATTCACATTATCGTTGGATCAGTTGTGCAATTAGAATTCTTTTAATGACCGAATGTGACATTGACAATTAGGTCAAAAACTGGAATTATTAGCCTTAGACAAAAAACAGATAACATGTTACTGAATGAATTGATCGAACAATTTCTCCCTTTTATGCAAGCCAAAGTTTTTAAGATGAGATATGTGCATTTCCGAAATCGTACTAATTAACCAAATTTTATAAACAAACTTCAGATTCAAAGGCTTGGTCGTCTATGAACCGTGAAACGTTTACACAGTTCACATGTACAAATATTCAGAAATAGTTGCCACACGTATATCAGTTCGATATCTATAGAAGTAATAAAAGTGAAAGAAAGTCACGACAACCAGGAGCATGTTAGTAAGATAAGTAATAAGATAGAATAAATTGTAGAATATAAGAGCTATTACAAAAGACTGACCATATTATACCGATTATGGAGTAATAACCGTGTTAGTAATATTAATTTGATGGGCTGTCGAAACCTGAGGTGCAAAAACGTGAATAGTCACTACTCTAGGAGTGTCAAATCTAATTTACAAACATGATAAGAACAATAAGGCCAATTATAATCAAAAAAGGACATGTACACCTATTAAAAATGACAGAAATAGTGATTATGTAATTAGTCATGAGAGAACTGGCATTTCTTATTTATATCCATCAAAGAATGTTCATTAAAAGTAGCTCTCTCAATTATCCAATTCCTATTTAAATTGTACTAGGATGATTGATATATCCATTCATGTTTCATTTATTACTCAATCCTGAATAATAAAACTTATTGTTAAACTTTTTTATACACTCGGAAGATTAATGGAACACCGTGTTTGAATACGAAAGACGCTGAATCCTCAAATACAAGTTTCATTCAGACCACAGTGAGAACTTTATTTTTTTGAATATTAAACATTTATTTAATCAAGCGTCATGAATAAATTTAACAGCGTCGTAAACGATAATAATTTTCTAGGTATTCACTATTTTTTCAAACTCTAAAAGTGAATAACTTACTTAATACGAGCTACTCTGACTTTTAGTCCTAATTGATGGATATATGTTGATCAATTTTATGATAAGGCTTTCAAAAGAGTTTATTGACGCGACTGAAGTCGCATAATTTCTTCTGTATGTGACACAAGTTGTTCTCACTGGTCAATCTTTCAGAATAACATTAATACATATAGTTAATTTTAAATGTATTTCATTACATTGATTATTTCACTTTAATTCCGTGTTCACTGGAGTTAGATCAGTTGATAACAAGTGTTGATTATCGATCACTTATGTTCGATAAATAATTTGGATGAATAAAAATGCAGCTTGATTATCTTAGGCTGGCACTATCCACTTCAGTCCGCCTCCAAAGTGGTAAAGGATCGAAACTGTAGTGGTCTTGATCTTACTGCTAAAGATGTGGACCCACAGATTTGGCGATACCTAGAACGGGAAGTAAAAATGCGTAAGAATGACCCCTGTAAACGAAATTTTACTGAACCAGGAAATGGACTCATTTGTATTGTAGTATGTCACGTTACGTCAAGCGTATGTGACGTGTTCTAGCCTCTGGACAAAATAATTAATCTGTTCTTCTTCTGAAGTCATTGTTCACACGTCTTTCGACCTTATTATTTATTCGCTTATAATCTTAGCTG